AGTATTGCCTGGAATCATCAAGACTCGTTTTGATACTACATGTGACTTGCATTTTCAATGACGTGTACTTTCGCACATTGAAACGTTTGACTTTCATGTCCTTGCTTCCTTTTTCTGTTCTTCTAAGAAATACTGCTTATATCAGATTGCCTCCATCCTACTTAGATGGTCCTTATAGATTTCATACTAACGATCTCCCGAATGTTCTTTTGTTACTACCGCTAACTGTAAAAAACGTGCCAAAACTGAATCATTGCACAGGAGCCTTTAGATCTACTGGGCTGTGCACACAGCGGCACTCAAACCGGCACTAATCGGTAACATGTGATGGCCCAATAAATTTTAGCAATGTGTTTAAAATGTGTAACTATTTAGATGGGAGCCTGCCATAACAGTGCCTGGTGATGCAACCACCGCTACTGTACCGAATCTTACGGAAGGCGAGGAATACGAATTTCGTGTTATCGCCATCAACAAAGGTGGCTTGTCCGATCCCAGCGATCCGAGCGTGGCTGTTATTGCCAAACCACGAAACTGTAGGCACTTCATAAGTCACTTATTTTTTAAAAGAAATTTAGAAATGCTGCTTTCAGAATAGCAGTTCTGGTCTGACCCATATCGAATTTCAGTGGCTCCGAAGATTGATCGAAATGCTTTGAAACCAGTGCGAGTGAAGGCCGGACAAATGATAACATTTGATGTGCCGGTTGAAGGTGAACCACCACCTACTGTGACATGGACAAATCCAGACGGCCGTGAACTAAAACGTGGCGGCCGAGTTAAACTTGACAACCCCGATTACAGGACCAAACTACAAATACGCGCATCTGAAAGGAGTGATAGTGGCACGTACACAGTCAGAGCTGTTAATCCCAACGGTGAAGATTCCGCCACTGTAGAAGTCACTGTTATTGGTAAGCTTTTCAAAAAAGTTATGCGAACTATTAAGATTTCTCTTCCCTGTATTCTGTTTTCCATCGCGATGTCTGAAGCACGAATGTGCACGTACAGCATCTCGCTATCAATTTTTCACAAACAGCACAGAGCATACGCATCGAACTGTTGCTGGGCTAGCCATAAAAGACTGTAACAGCAGAGGATACAGATGACAAAATAAGCTGAAATAGTAAGAGCTTTGAGGAATAACGTCCAAATGGACCATTTTGGTCTGTGTACGTAGTCCAGTTATTGCTGTTCTGTCTTGCCACATAAAACATTAAGGTCATTCTTTGATGTGACATGCGAGAACGATTAGTAGGTATGCAGCAATGTTTTTTACACGTGTACAAAAGCAAACATGAACCGAACCGTGCTCTGCTTGCTTCGCTTGAGCTATGCAGTCGTCGACTCCCGTTGAATACCCTGTCTTT